TATGTCGACAGGGTATGACATATCACACATATGACATAATGTCGACAGGTGCCGGTATGACATATATGTCGTGCGTACGATCTTATATGTCGAGTCGACAGGGTACGATATGTCGCATACGACTTTGTCGTACATAAGTACGACTTAATATCTCGTGTGTACAACATATGAATTTTTACTCGTACGTTCGACTTGTTTGTCGAATATGTCGTACATACGACATATCTTGTGAGTACGACTTGTATCTCGTATGTACGACATATGTATTGTAACTCGTATGTATGACTTGTATGTCATACGACATATAGGTACGATTTATATGTTATACCTACGACTTACGTGAAGTACGTATGTCATAGGTGACATACAATTCGTACGTACGCGTTAAAATACATGTGTCGTATGTATGAGATATATGTTGCACATGGTACGAATTCAGGGAGCGATTTTATTCACCAAGTCCCTATATGACAGTTTCGTATATTTCAATCCCAAAGTCAATACCTTGTTTCTTGCAGTTAATTCCTACGGTTGCAACATGAATAGATACGAGTTAACCTGCATTCGATAAATTTGATTGGATATCGTGTAATATATGCGCATCAGAAATTCTCGGCCGAGTTTGGCCGAAAATATAAAGAAACACATAAGGAATTCGCCACGGTTGTGTCAAGGCTATCCTCCTCGACTTACTGTACGGCTGTTTGCGGAAGTGTGTGTTGGGTGTGCGTACATGCACACAAAGCACACGCAAGGGTCGTTGAAGCTGAAATTCCTTCAGATTATAGACAAACGCTTCCCCAAGGAACATAAACTTCACAAAGTGCTCAACCGGAACACAGTAAAGTTATCGTACAGCTGCATGCCGAACATGAAGGCAACGTAAAACAAGAGGACGACGTCGGTGGTAGAACATGCAGTTGCCCCCGAAATGCCCGCTGAACGGGGAGTGCCTCAGCAAGAACATCGTGTACCAGGCCACCGTCACGAGCGAAGGCAGGAAGGAGGCATACATTGGGCTGACATCCACAACCTTCAAGGCGAGACTGGCGAACCACAAGCAGTCATTCCGATCCGAGAGCAAGAGGGCGCAAACAGAGCTAAGTAAACATATATGGGACTTAAAGGACGAGGGGAAAGACTATGAAATCAAATGGGACATTGTTCAGAAAGCACTGCCATACTCTAACGTAAACAAGAGATGCAATTTGTGTATAGCAGAGAAGTACATAATCATATGTAGGCCAGATCTAGGTACACTGAATAAGAGAAGCGAAATCGTCTCCAAGTGCAGGCATCGAGACAGATGTGTTCTTACTTCAGTGACGTAAACGCATACTAACTTCAATGACGTAACGCGCGTAACGCGTGCGCTTGATTCGAAATAAGGTAAGATGCTACTTGTATTCTATTTTTCGTCATTCTGTTGATGAGTGCCTTATGGTACGAAACAGTCTGTCCAGAAGAGAGATATGCCACAGTTTGTTTAACTCATATTCTGAATTTATTGCATATATATATATATTATATATATCCAATGAAATCGTATAAATATATTTATCAAGCCATTTTCAAAAAGTTTAACTCACTTGATTTCTAGATGCTGAAAATAATTTTTATCCCGAAAAAGTTCTAGCGATTGCTGAGTTTATACTGTCGTATAAATTTTTACTGTTGTGGTATGCTCCTGCATGTACATCTTTAAGTGCACTGTCAGATTTTCTTTGTTATTACTCGAAACAGCAAAGGATTTGTAAAAGGCAGTAACAAACAGAAGTTACAGAATTCGGGCAGATGAATATGAAGATGATTGGGTAATTAAGATTATATATTAAATAAAGGAGCACAATTGTACGGGGAAAGCAATTTTATAAAATAGCTATGTAACCAACTTGTAAGAGGGGCATTAATGTTCTAACAATATCCAACTGGAAATCTCTGTGTGAAATGTCCTGCTGCCTTCATACCAATTTTTAAACATCGTTAACATTTGTGTCCTTTTCTGAATATGGACATTAATTTTACTGAGATCTACACTTGCCTGATGTCGTAGGTATTTATCTATACTGACAAAAACACGCTATATACATTTAATGCTCTTTGTATACATGCAAACCACATGTAATTGGCACAAAAGAGTAACCCCTCTTAAACATCATGTCTTTTCCTGAACACAGTTGTGACCTATTAACCGTCCTATACTTATAACTATCACAAACTATCAAACAACCTCACCCCTATCACTCTTGGTAGCTTTTGTAAAGGCTGGTTAAAGGGAAGATACAACATTTGCAAACATCAAAACACAAAATGATCAAATTATCATGAAATATCTCACTGGATTGTTAGGGAATGACAGTCTTAAGTATCCTGTAAAATCGTGGCTCCTGGTGTGCTGTCATTTTCTAGAAAACTTGTATTTTTCAAACACTATTTTTCCAACCAGCATTGGAGAAAACTGGCTTAAAAAAAAACAACTGCTCCTAATTTTTCACATTTAGTTACTCCGCATTTTCTTTGCAATTGATTACACACCTGTGAAGGGGTACAAGCCTGCTAGACTGATTCTCTGACCATACAATTCCCCTAAGTCTATAAATTGCTCCGCCTCATCTTAAGTGGGGTCAGGGAACCAGACTACAAGAATATGGTTGGTTTTCTTGGATTTCCCAGCATCTCCGAACCCAAAACGTGAAGCAAGTCAGTTTAACAATATTTGCCATAACATACTAATCCTCCAAATCCATTTATTTCTGAAAATTGCAGCAAAAGCAAATGTTGTACATTCCCTTTAATGCAGTTATATTATGCTTACGTAACTCCAAAACTAGCTATGTTGTGTACTTACTTTTTGGAATGGAAAAGCTACTGTATGCACAATTTTAAACAAGAGTACAGGGAATAAATTGTTCTTTGTATCTTTTAAGAAAATTATTAATGATTAAACAAACAAAAATAAGGCTTTTTAAGTTTTAAGGATTATTTTGCCACCATTTTTGACGATTTCTATGTTACTTTTAATGAACCTAAGACCCAATGTTAACGTTGACTCAATGTTTCATAGCATTTTTAGTGACTAAAAGGTAATTTTGAATTTTTGAACCATCAATGTGTGAGATCCTGATCGTTAAACAAATCCTTACAGACCATAAGGGTCTGTAAAGATATGTCCATCTGTAAACATGAGGACATGTTGTAGCTCTGAGTCAAACTTTTCCTAATTGTCTCAGGGTCCATTCCTACAAAAGAAACTCATACATCGTCCCTCGAAGATGTTCATTTTTGGGCCTGATGAGATTTTTTTGTGCAACATTTCCCGTAAAACTGTTGTTCCATGCTTTAAGTCCAACATTTTTTGGTTAAAATACATGATCGGTAAGGTAGCATAAATTGATATAGAAAATCGAAGTGAGGCGTATACAGAGTGAGTTAAAAAAGAAGAAGAGGAAACCCAAATATCAGGAACATTGTTTTAAAAAGAAGTTCTACAGTTTTGAGCACCCCAAAATGGACTGGGAAGCAACAGATATTGTCATAATCTGTGTTAGATTCAGACAGAACATGTGCATGTAGATACCCTATAAAATCCATATACAGTGCCATTTTGCAGGATGTTTTTCAATTTTTATGATCATTTAATGACATTTTTATGACCATTTTTATGACTTTTATGCTATTTTAACAAGCTCTATGCGAAGCTGCCTGTATCAATCTGTACATGAATACTTTATGCCGGGTGAAGTCTGAAATAATTGTGTATAACTGGAAGTATATAACTAGAAATATATACCGGTATCCGAATATATTTAACCAGCACGATGCAGCAGTTGCCAACAAGCTCTGACGAACGGAACCTCAGAAAATTCGGCACCACCAACGTGAAGGTGAGCACTGTTTTACCTTATACATTGTTCAACTGGAAATATACACAGAAAAAGAATTTCGGCATATGTGGGTGACACAGGAGAAAACCATTTTTTTTGGGGGGGGGGAAACCCAGATTGACTGGAGAGTGCTCTAAAGGTTTTGTTATACTTTCCAAGAGAATTATTATATGAAAATTCAGCAAAGACATTTAACTTTAAAGTTAACCTCTTAATATTCAAACTTTGACACATTAATTTGGGACAGATTCCTCCACATAATAACCAAATACAAATACATACCTTGTATGGCCTTTGAACTTAAGATACAAATTTGGGTCAATCAAGTCTGACATCCACTCACATTTTCCTCCTCACCCACTGATGCAGTGTTATAATTTACTCTTGCATTTTAAAGGTATAGTCCATCATTTGCAGCCATCCGAAAAGTAACTGGCGTAATTATTGTTGAAAAACAAAACTTGGTTGAAAGATAGTAAGGGGACTAAACTCCCTGTGAAATTATTCTTTCTGGCAAGCTGTCATTTTGAAGTAATCAACGAAAGAAGGCATTTCCAACGGTGGTTCTTAAGAAGCACCGTAGGAAAATTTAAATTAGTAGTTCGTTTTGTTATTCAGTGCAAGCGCGCACAAGTATTGGAACGAAGCACACGCGCGCGCGGTTGTTATAATTCGTCGGATCAGTGCGCGACGTCGCGTATAGCTGCAATTCAAAACAATTCAAAACATGATTCAGTAACTTTGGATTTGAAATTGAGATCTTAGAATGCTGTTTTTCTCGGAATGTACAGCTGAAGCTTAGCTGAAACTTCATCAGGTTAGTTGCTCAGTATCCTTCATTAGATTTTGAACTCTTTTGTTGCTTCAAACGAACAAAATGCACAAATTACAAATGATGGACTGTAGCTTTAAGAGGGTAGAACTAAAAGGGATTAAAAAAGGAATAAACAAAAAGGAACAACACGTACGGTTGGCAAACCACAAGGAATTTGGGATGAGGTTATGGAGTGTAGAGAAGGGAATGTTGCTCTCCAGGGACATATGCACAGAAGTGTCTTTATTTATAAAAGGAATTGACCCCTCTAAATACTCTGTATGAGCTAACAAGATACATACCTTAAGTATTTCTTGCCCATGCTTACTGTATGGCTTGCTGTCGTCTGAACTGAATGCTTTCCTCAGGGTGGCGACATGATTAGAAGTATCATCTACACTTCCTCCTTTCATGACCTTTTTCTCAGAATCGGCATCACTGCATGACTGTTCAATTACTCTTTCAATGTGTGTTCTACCCTCTTTCTTATGATATGGCTGGAGAGGCTTCATCTTGGACATTCTCCTGTCAAACAGACATTATAAAAAAAGAAGATTTTTTGTTTTTAAATTTACTTGCTTTGTTTCGTTGTTAATTTGTTGTGAGCCTTTGTTGTTTTTCCAACATTTTACTTCAATGTCTGTACACTTGCATGAAGAGTCACTTTTACCATTTCAAACCGGACAAACTAAGGAGGAGAACATGCATAAAGTGGAGAATTCGGGCAATCATATTTTTCTTCTGATTCCTATCCCATCTTTCTAGCTACCCTGGTTGTCAAATTGGTCTAGGAAACACAAAAATGGCATTTTAATATAATCAACCAACAAGGATCTCACAAACCCAAGAATCAAAGTCACAAACAGGAAAAAGCCTCAGTTCCCCCCCTTGATTTTTGTACCCCTTCCCTCTTTGTGTGGAGCACCCCCGAGCAAAAGAAGAGTTTCATTACAATGTAGACCCAGCCCCCTATTACATTTGGTAAGGGGCCCAAGACAGGACAGTATGATAAGGAGTTGTTACAACTGATTAATGTAGTAACCAAAGGATAAACATATCACCAACTGATAATGTCACACAAATTGAACGATATTGTGTCACTAACTGATAATGTAGCAAAAATTGACTGACAGAAAATTGATAATGTATCACGTGTCCAGGGGTAATGTAATAAAAAAAAATAATCAAAATCAAATGTCTAACCATATGTATCACCAAAGAAAGGATACTGTTTCAACTGAAAACGCATCAAAAATCAACCAATAATGTATCAGTATTGGCAAAAGGTGTAAATGTTTACAGATTAATTAACGTTGAATAAGTGCCTTTATTTATAGATCAGATTCCTATAAGCAATGACATTGCTGCTCAGAATGGTACAAGCTTGACTAGAAATGAATGAATGATTCTAGGGGTTGATGTAATGTTCATGATAATTTTGGTCATATATAGTAGCTTGAGTTGGTATGACTTCTCATGTGCATAGTTGCCAATCCTGGCTGATAACAGCAAGTCACAGTATCTGCATTGGAAAGATGGCTTCTCGCATCCTCCTTTCCTCTACTGCTTGTTTCCAGGATTTCTTGGCTACCAGGGACCCCTTTCTTGATGAGTGAGCGCCATGTTTTCCTGAGTTTTTTGGCTGGTGAGTGGTAAACTAGCTGCTTGATGGTGCCGTTTCAAGCAGTCCTTGTAACGTACGTAGCCCATGAGCTAGTTTCCTGTAGAAGATCGCTTTTGGTAGGCAGATGTCATATGGACAAGATGAAAACTCCAACGTAGCTGTCGTGCGAGCAGCATGGACTTAATGCTGATCATACCTGCCCTTCTAAGGACTTTGGTGTTGGTGTTGTGGTCTCACCACTTGATGTTGAGAATAGCACAAAAGTGATGAAGTTGAACCTGATTTAGCTTCTGGATATGATGTTGATAAAATGTGTATGTTTCGGTTGAGTAAAGTAGGCTTGATGGTACTACTGCCCTTGTATACCTTGAGATCCTAATTCTATATTGGGGCCATAGCCTCTGTTTATATTGGGGCCATAGCCTCTGTTTATATTTACACTGATATAATATGCAAACAAGTTGTATGTTTGTTGTTTTCCTTGGCTGGTTAATACGGAAATGTTAAAATGGCCATTTATTTCAAATTGCTATCTTGCTACATGGAGTTAGTATCCAATGGTATAAAGACTCAGAGGGGACATCGGGAACATTTTAGGTATTTTTTTTTTCAATTACTCTATTTAATATTCATATAATTTCCCATTGTTGGAGTAGTTTGATCGATATTTAGTTTGTTAGCTAGTGCGTGGCTAGTGTAACACTGTGGTAATAAATCAAGTTTTTAGATGTAGACTGTTGAATTAGTGTTGCAGACTAGTAGCTAATGGCCCATGGATGAGCAGTGAAAATGATAGAGGCAAATTCGGCATTAAGCTCTACTTTTTTTGAAAACACTTTTTATTCCCAAGAAGTTCATCTATACCGGGTACTTTATATGAAAGTATACAGATGACCACCACAGAACATACAGCTCATTGAGCTTCTGGGTGTGTTAGACTGGGTAGAAAAAGGCTGATGAGGATGGAAAAAAAAGGAATCTTTACTCAGCCTATGGTCTGAGAATCCTGAACCACAGAGCATGGTGCTGAGGAAGACCAGGACTAGAAGAGAGAACTACTCGTTGATGAGAATTCTTGTAACAACTCGTAATTTAGTAACAAACGGATAACGTATCACTAAACCAACCGATAATATTACATTATCGGTTGGTGGTATGCCGTATCTTCATTTTTTGTTGTTGCCAAAATCTTCTAAATTATAGTTGAGCAGAACCTGAAAAGTATGTGTTTTTGGTTTTCAGTAATGAGCAGGCGACCGATCACATTGAATATTAATTTTGTGAAATATTAATCATTTTAGCATTTCAAAGTGAGATTTCAAAGTTTGCAAATGCAGCTGCCAACAAAGTGGCCAAAACCTCCGAATCTGGAATAAAGTTCTTATCGAGAAAATCGCTGTTGAAGTTAATCCTTTTTTCCAAAAAATGTTTTCAACCACTTTACAGCAACAGAATTTGGAAACATTATGCACTGTCCAACAGCTCATGCTTTACTCTTTGCTAAATTTATAGTCATAGAACATTCTTTCTTAAATAAACAGTGATTAATTTATGAAAGTTTTTGCACTTCGTGACAACATAAAATGCTTACGTTTTGTCCCATTGCATTGCGCGCACCTTTTTCCACACTGTGGTGAAAACCTGAGTATGATCCCTCTTGCCCCTGCTAGCGAGGTGACTTTTGCCATGGTGAGAACAAATACAATCTGAGCTCAGGTTTTTTTGGCAAAGATAAATAAGTAAAAAAACAACATTTTGCTTTGAAACTTGATCAAATTGTTCCTGGACCAAAAGAAAAATCGGTTTTCTATTAAGATTTGTTGCATTTTGCGAGTGCAGCAAAGATTTAGTCCTTCATAAGAGGTGCAAACAACAAACTTGTTTATATACCTTTACCCCATCCTGATTATTATCCATATAATATATATGGTTAACATAGCAGTGTATCCAGACCTCCGCATTCTCCCTCCAGTGAAGCAATAGCCAGCAGTAAATTGGTCCCCTGGAAGTGTCCAAAAAGCTATACATCTATTCACAGACAGACTTAGACAGATTATTTACCTAAATATTTACCTTTTCGACCACAGATAAATCAATTAAACACCAAAATTCCACAGATTGAAGACAGAGTATCTTGGTAATTTAACTTTCAATCTCCAAAACAAATACAACTTGTTGAAAGTTCATTTGGTGACAAAGTTGGGTTGGTTATCACTTCTCAACCTTGTACACGTGGACTCATTGAACTTGTTTAATTGATCAAGTTCTTTATGTAGAAACCTCCTCCAAGGCTGTCTTCAAGCAAGCCTTGGAGGATCTCGCAAGTTGCACTGCACCACTCTCCTTATCAGATGATGACAAATACTCGTGCATGCTGAGCCTTCAACAGAATTAGGTGCTGGGGTGCATGAACGGGTGGGTGCTGAAACATCTCACGAAGGCAGTCATTGAGAGACCAAAAAGCTCCCCTCCTACGGAAGGTAATGGCTTCATGCAGGAACAGAAATGGTTGATATTCTGGCACTACACTAAGAACAACCTGCTTTGACGTTAATTATGGGGTTATATGGAGTGTTTCTTGTTTTATGTATACCCGAAATATTACATACCTCAGTGAATACAGCCAAAATGTCTGTCTTAGTCCGAATGTTATTCTGTCAGGACACGTAGTCTGAATAATCTATGTAATTTCTTGGCAACAGCTAGAGTTAGCCACAAGACACTCTGTGAAATAATTCACCTACCGGTACTCCTTTGAAGCCTGCAATTACCATCTTGGGTTTCAGGCAAGGAGCCAGCAATGTCCAAAGCAACCCTCTTTAATGAATAAACTACATGCATTTTCTTCCTGGTATCCTCTTCATAGGCGAATTCCCCCATGCACACTTTTCACATTTTCTATAAGAGCAAACATCAGCTCTCATCCAAGGCGGGACTCAAATGGGGCAAATGTTTATTTGGGCTCAATGTGGCCTCATTTTGTGTCAAGGTGTACCACTAGTTAAATTTGAAACCATTCTTCAAACCTCAAAGAATATATGTTGGTCTACTCACTTCATGGGTCCTTTGCTAAGGAACTTTTGTTTTACTACCCTGACAAATTTCTAAGCATGTTTATGTGATTAAATAACACCCCTGGTGACAATAATGGAATAATTATATTTATTTAGCCGGAGCAGATAAATTTTAACTAAGTTACTCAGGTTATGAAGGGTTGTTGCTAAGGAGTAAAGCGGCTGTTAGGCAACATACATCTGAAATAGCATGATCATATGGTCCCAGAGGCGAAATATCATATTCATATGGACTCGGAGATCTTCTTTTTTCATGTTCAGCTGTTGATATGAACTATAGTTTGAAAGGTAATTCTTAAACATACATGTATTCTTCTCAATGCTGAGCGTGGACCTTATTTTTTATTTCATTGTGTGACATCACATATCTGCTCGTGGTACCAACGTCCACAACCGGATAACTATAAGACAAGACTAGCCAATTCAAATACCCCAATATATAGCGCCTTTATCTACCAACAATTAGGTACTCAAGGCACTTAGAACAGGTAAATGAAGTTTATGAAAAATGTGAGACCCATTATGTATCACCTTTATTAGGGTTTACAAGGTGCTGCGGCGCCATATTGCAGCCACTGACAGAAGCACCGGGGCAAACCCCTTCTCTTTGCGATAAGTGTTAATAGGTTCTTTAATAAGGGAATAAATGTGTGTTCCGGAGGTATTATAACACTCTGTTTAAAACCGGTGTGAGTCTGGATGGGTAATTATCACCCATCCAGACTCACACCGGTTTAAAACAGAGTGTTTAATACAATAATTTTTATTCTTCACAACTTCTGATTTATGACCTTTGCACGGAATCAAAGCAGTACAATGTATACATG